GAGACAGGTTTCAGCAGGCATCACAGATATTTCCAGATTGAGTCATTAGAGAAGACAGGAGATAGGAGCAAACTAGTTACAATCCTTATGGTATAACAGTAGTAACTGGAGGTGCAGCTGATGTAAGAATTCATCTGGAAAATACCTGCATTCTTTTTAATACCTTCTTATTACTGTTAATGTAATTTGGACTCTTTTTTGTATATGTATGTGTAGTTGAATTCAGTCTATTGAGACTATGCTGCTGATTGGGGTGTTGGTATTAATAGCATTATTGAATTATTTAGGTTGGGAAAGACCTGTAAGTTCATGGAGTCCAGCTGTTAACTCATCACTGCCAAGTCCACCACTGAACCATGTCCCTAAGTACCCAATCTACAAGTCTTTCAGATACCTCTAGGGATGGTGACTCCACCACTTCCCTGGGCAGCCTGTTCCTTCATGGCCCTTTTGATGAATAATTTTTTCCAAGTATACCATCTAAACCTCCCCTGCCACAATTCAAGGCTATTTCCTACTGTTTGTTAACTGGGAGAAGAAGCTGACTCTCACCTGGCTACAGCCTCCTTTCAGGCAGCTGTAGAGAGTGGTAAGGTTTCCCCTGAGTCTCCTCCAGATTAAACACCCCCAGCTCCTTCAGATGCTCCTCACCAGACTTGTGCTCCAGACTCTTCAGCACCAGAGCACATCAATGTCCTTCCTCAACTGAGGGACCCAAAACTGGGCACAGCATACGAGGTGTGACCTCACCAGTGCTGAGAACAGGGTGACAATCACTGCCCAGCTCCTGCTGGCCACACCATTGCTGATCCAGGCCAGGATGCCATTGGCCTTCTTGGCCACCTGGGCACAGCTGGGTCAAGTTCAGCTGCTGCTGACCAGCACCCCCAGGCCCTTTTCTGCCAGGCAGTTTCCCAGCCACTGTTTGATGGCTTGCACTTCCTTATATTATACCTTGATCTTTTGAATAAACGATGTTTGTTTTCAGATGTTCACAATTTAACAAGATGGTAATTAGGTAAGCTCCCTGGTATTGGCAAACCATTTTAGCACTGCCTTGCTGAAAGGAAAAATAGGCACTGCTGAAAACTGTAATTGAAATAAATTACTCTATTCTTTGCTGTAATTACCATAATATAGTTCTGAGCACAGGTGGGAATTTTCTAGTTTCTATTAATAGGACTTGTCTAGAATAAAAAAGAGAAATTGGCAAGGAATCATAGAAACAACATTTGATTCTAAAACAATTCTAAAATTACTTCAGAAAGTGTAATGACAAATAATTTCCTAAATGACAGGGGTTGTTTTTATTTATGTTTTTCATGTTTGCCTTTTCACAGCTATTAAAAATTTTAGTATTTTTAGTACCATATTTTTATATTTTATTTTCTAAATGTGCCCTGCATACTCCTTTCTTTTAGCCACCCTCCGTGCTATAGAAATGCTCCCAGATTTAACTGGTTGATTGGCAGGTATTCCATTAATACAAATGATATACTATGCTCCACAGCAAGCACACACAGACCCTGAGAGACCCTTGAGTCATCACCATATTCATAACTGCACCAGGAACAGTTCTTTAAGTCCACTGTGCACAATCTTAACTTGTATCAGTCCACTTACTGAGCATCTACTTACCTCTGAGACCTCCAGAAGAATCCAATCTCTCTCTGTAAATATTTCATCCTCTGTAGTAATTTTGCGTCATGGGTATTATTCTTTCTTTTTGTGTCATGTATGGAATAATATTCTTTCCCATTTGTTCTTACCAATCAGAAAATGCCCTGAGAAATGAAGATTTTGTCTTTGCTGTACTTTTAGTTGGTTGTACTGCAAATATTTTTCTTGTATATGTATGTGTAAGGACTCTTAATATTGGTATTGTGGGGAAAGGAGAGACTCACAATACTTTATTTCTTTATGCTCAGATGTTAGTTTTCTTTATTTTTTCTGTCATCATTTGTTTTGCTGTCATAGGTCAGGATGCACAATTCTTTCTGTCCGCTCTGACCTGTTAGGTCAATATTTATGTACAACTGATACAGATACATATGTATTGGTTGTATTTTACTCCTTCCCAACCAAGCCTTGTTTTGTCTGTTCCCTTGCTTCTCATTTCTGTGAGTAAACAATCTCAGGAATTTTTGCCACAATCAGGTGAACTGACCTCAGAGATCACCTCTTATGACTATATTCAGGGCGATTGTGTCTATTGTTTTGGTTAGCTCCGAATTGTCAGCAGTCAGAGTTGATCATCACTGCAGGTCCCTTCCAACTGAAATAATCTATTCAATCCTCCACTATCCTGCCCTCTCCTCTCTCAACTGTAGTACTTTGGCTTTATTTGTGATACATCTTTTTCACTGCTTGTTTTTCAGGTCATATTATCTGGATGGAAAAGTAAGATTTTAATAGTGTTACAGTAAAAAAAATTGTTTCATTCACCTGAAAGTTTTATTTATGTATTCCTTTTTGCAAACCAATAGAAGAGCTTAGTCCTTAGTGTGATTACACAGACTTCAGATTTTCATCAATTTCAGTGGGAGTTCCCCTATGAGACTCTGACATTGAGCAAATATGAGGAATATGGGTCTTGGTTTCTCTGTCTGCAGTACCTGCTCCTGAGTTATTCCTTAAAAATCTTGCTTAATTTTTCATGCACTTTAGGATCTTCACAGTGCTATAATAAAGAGACAGAGTTTAGAGATGGAGATCAGAAACCTCCAAGAAAAACTGGCTGTTAACCAGAAAGCTTTGGATACCTCAAAGCAGGAACTGCAGAATCTGAAGAAATCTTCCAGGGAGTTAGATGCAAGACTGAAGAGTAGCAGAGAAGAGGCCAGGACTGCCCAGAGCTCTTTAGAGGCTTTTAAAGAAGAAATTGCTACCCTGCTCAGCCGTGGATTTGCAATAGTTAAACCTTCTCAGAAGGCCATTTTGGAGAGGATCCGAGAAATAAATTGCAAAGAGCAGAATAAAGAAAAAGTAAGTCAACTGCACTTGCCCAATGTGTGAATTTATTTTCTCTGGGTTCTGTTTCATTTTATTCATCTGGTATTGAGTGTTGATTCTTTCTGCTTAGGTTTTGGAATTACAAAAACCTTTAATTTTGTTATCTATTGATTTAAGGTAATAGGGGACAAACATCTATGTTTTACTAAGCAGGAAGTGTTCAGAAATTAAATTAATAATAAATACTGTTAAGAAGAAAAGACTTGGAGTGTTCTTTTGTTACAACATTGAGATTTGGTTTCTGTGCCAGCAGACATCAAAGGTGGCTGTTTGGTTGCTATGATTTAGTGAAACCTGTGAACAAGTATGGATTTGCTGCTACAATGGTGACTTCAAGAACTGACTTCTTTCTCAAAGCAAATATAATTGATGAGCTGTCACAGGGAACTTCTTTCCCTCCAATCCTCAAAACCTGCACCTAAATATAAAGATGTGTTTTTACACTTACAGCTAAACATTATTCAGCATCCAAAGAAGGTAAAAGGAAGGCTCTAGCAAAAGGAAGGCTCTAGCTTGAGGCATTTGGACTGGTACTGTTTGCAAAGGTGTGTTTGAATGTATAGATAAAGAAGGGACAGCTCAGGAGGAAGGTGAGTCAGAATGAAGCCTGACCAATATCAGTATCCTGACACTACACTGAAGTTTCTCCCTTGCTTGCTTACAGTTTATTAATTTTGTTTGTGAGGACTATTTATATAACTAAAAGTTGCACACTAAATCAAAAGCTGCTTTCAGTGAGCCACTGAAAACCAGCTTTAATATTCTTGCCAGATTTTGAAGTTCTAGCATCTCCTGCTGATGTGATAGTTTTTAACGACAGCAAATGGTTTTGTATGCTGTCCAAGGCTAGAAATGGTTCTCGAGAATATCCTGTGCATTTTGGTGAAGTATTAAAAAAAAAAACCAAAATCAAAAACCTATGCCATTGGTCTTCTTGCCTACCTGGGCACACTGTTGGCTCAGTTTCAGCCAGCTCTTGACCAACAACCCCACATCCTTTTTCATCATGCAGCTTCCCAGCCACTCTGCCCAGCCTGTAGCAATGTTGTGACCTAAGGGCAGGACCTGGCACTTGAACCTGGCACTTTGCCTTGGGGAACTTCATACATTGGCATCAGACCACTGATCCAGCCTGCCCAAATCCCTCTGCAGAGCCTTCCCACCCTACTGCAGATCCACACTCCGACCCTACTTTGCGTCATATGTAAAATGGTTGTAGTTTGAAATTATCCAGTAGCCAATTAAAACAAAAAGCAGGAAGGGGCTTTTTATTTTGCAGGCTGGCTGATCAAGCTGCATGAGTCATAGGAATGAGAAGTTGTGGAGGTCAGAACTGCAGGACCAAAAATGTAGCCTTTGTAAGATGATGGATCAGGCATGGGGGGTAACAAGGGTGCAACCTTGTTTTAGGAAATGCCTACCTTTTGGGTTGTCTCTAAGCTAAGGATGAAAGTCACACCAGAGTGCCCCAGGATGATAAAATGACAGCTTCTGCTCTGCTTCTGTGGTATAGTCTTTCACTTCCTCATGTCTATGGATCTTTGAAGCCTCTAAAACCCCCTTGCAGCCACTCTGCAGCCTGATAAAGGGGCTCTAGGTTCTGTGGCAGCAGCGAATCTCTGGGGGAACAAAGTACTGCAACTCTTGTTCCTGCTGGGTGATGTGAGATGCAAAAAAGTGTAAAATATGTTTGTAGGCTATTGCAGATTTATTATTGTTTAGTGTTGTCTACTGTATGAGCAGTAGTAATTTCTCAGTGTTTTTAGACAAGTTGGGGGCAAACTTTGTATTTAATTGGAAAACTTTCAGTGCCATTAAAATTAATGAGAGCTCCGTGTACTTACTGTTCATTTTATTAACTGGAACCAACAAGAGGCTTAAAATGAAGAGGCTGCTTGGAGATGAGTGTCTGAACACTGAGTTACAAATGCAATATAATGAATTATGTAAACAAATAATTATATGACAGTAAGAAGTAGACAGAGGGAAACAAGCAACTTTGTGTATAGACCTGCTTTTCAGTATTTCAGTATTGTAACCAGATACTTTCAAGCATTTAATTTATAAATAGTTTACAACTTAAAATCCATTGCATTATATGCTGGTGTTGTAAAGTTAACTGTGAAGAATTAGAATTTTTAAAAATTGTTCTGGTTGCTTGTTTTGAGATTTTATCCTTTTATCCTTGGACTCTGGTTAGATTAAAGAAATTATTATTACTATTTATTTTTTAAGCACAACCTTTCAAATACTGCTTAACAGTTGCCAATTGGGAAACACTCCTCTGAGATTTAATTATCCATATCTACTTTCTCCCCTACATGCTGCATGTATTTTCTAAAAACTTATGTGCTTTTTCTAATCAATTCCTTAATAGAATAGTGATTTCTTTGGCTTATTTTAAGGAATGATAGCTGACTTCAAGGTATTGCTACTATGTCCACATCTTTGGAAATTTTGTGTCTGAATTACTTTGTATTGATTTTTTAATATATAGCAATACCTTTTAGTCATTTGACTAATCTTATTTATAATATCTATTCACTTTTGGGTGTCTCCACTTCTGCAATTTTTTGCTGCTGGTTGCAGATTTTTCTTTTTGATTTTTTAAATGCATATATTTTAAAGATAGATATTTTGCCCTATTTTTAGTAATTTGTTGATTTATCTTTCATATATTTCCAGCCTTCCCACCTAACCCCATATGCTTTGTTGGTTTGCTTGTTCTCTAGATGGTGTCTCAGCTTGAAACACAATTAGCTAAATTGACTAAAGCTTTGGAAAATCAGACCAGATTGTACCATGAAGCCCTGGAGAGGAGCAGGAAAGCTGAAAAATGTTCTGAGAATTTCCACGATCAACTGAAGCACTTGGAAGAGGAATTATTAACTGGAGACCTGATGCAAGATGGTTTGAAGCTTGAGAAACAAAAAGTAGTTGTACACATTATTTACTTTTGAATAGGCGTCACTAAAGGCAGAGACACAACTCATATTAATTTGGTCTCCTGGAGCACTTCAAGTAATAAGAATTAGCAAAGTCAGACATTATGTAGAGAGTAATAATTTATTTTCTTTGACCAATAATTGCAGTTGGAAGATGTAGCTAAGCTTTTGAACTCCCAGTCCATTACTGTGAAACAAAACAAGCAAACAAAACCCCCCCAAACCCCTAAAAAAAACCACAAGCAACCCCCCCAAAACCAAACTATACCCCAAAACCAGCTTAAAAGAAGTCCTTGTCAATACCCCATCAGAAGTCCTTCAATTATTCTCTGATCTCAAAATTTCTCTCCTCTCTATGTCTTTCTCTAAAACATAATCTAGTCTGCAATCTCTCAAGATTTTTAGTTTTTGATTCTTTTATATTATTAGACAATCATGGCTACTAGGTTTTTTGTCTAATTGTATGAATGAATGCACTGTTAGCCTACAACTCATTCATGTGCCAAAGAGTTTGAAAAATGACATAGTACCTGGAAAGCCAAACACTACAGCTAAGAAAAACAAAGCTGTAGCATGCTGCCAGGCCACGATTAATGCTTAGAGGAATCAAGAATTTTGTGCTATTTGTTTTGCCTTAGACTATGATAAAATAATTTTTTTGAGCTAAACATCCATCACATTGGGAGAAAACCAGAAAAGGGAGCTGTTTCTTCCACTCTGCTTCCTCTGTGAATAATATGTGGCCTTAGATTCTTAAATTATTCTCTAGATATTGATGCAATTTAGAGATCCTTTTTTGCGATTTTTTTTTCTCTCAATGAATAAATCCAATGCTTTCTTCTGGTACCAGTTACCTCTGTTTGAGAGCTCACAGTATGGGGCCATCACAGCACTTGCAGTATTAGCTAGGACACAGCTGTCACAGCTGTCCACTCTGACTTCTCCCAGCCGAGCTCCAGACAGGAACTGGAGTCAGAAGCAAGGACATACCTATTGCTGCAGAGAAGCAAACCCCAAATTTTTCTTGCTAAGAAGATAAATGCAGTAGATCTAGGGATATATGGACAAAGTAAGTGTTGGCTAAGAAAAGGACATATGGAGAATTTGCAGTTGTGTCTGGAGTGTGCCCAATTGCACCCTTTCAGTACATTATTTTTATAAAGTACTTGGCTGCATATTGGCTGCCACTATGGTGGGGATTGCTTTTAAGTTGTACTTCATGACTTTTACTGAAGTTTTATTAATATTCTTCTGCCCACTTTTCCACATCTTAGTATCTGAAATTTCTGGAACAACTGAATGAGAAGATGAAGCTGGACAGTGTAGCAGCAGAGGTTGGATTTGATATGACTATGGATGCGATTCTGGCCCGGGTAGAGCAGTTGGTGAAACTGGAAGGTGATGCGGTGGTTGAGAACAAGACTGTGGCATACGGCCTCAGAAGGAAGGTATGCAAAAAAGACATACCATTCAAAGATAAACATATGGCTGTGTTTATGCAGTGGCTTGCTAGAGGCAGCAGACTGCATATGTGCAAGGAATTTCAAAGGTGTCCATGACATAAAAAGAAGACAGTGAGCATTTGCAAACTGTGCAAAAAGAAAACCCACCAGTTGGTCGAACGATACTGCTTTTCACAGCTTCTTAAGGAAAAAAAAGGACAAAGTTATGGATGTTTATATCTGTACATTTGTCTACTTTTAAAAACACATTTATAGTTCTGTAAACAGCTGCCATTAATATTTAAATCTAAAGGGATCTGCCAAGGAGGGAGGCACATTACACAAACTTCTCTAGAAGCTAGTAGGATGTTGGTTGTACTTCACCAAGAATTGCAGCGTTTCCAACAAGAACTGTTCCTTCATTCATTTGTTCCTACAGGAACAAGTCTGTTCAAATTTGATCAAACAACCCTCTGTCATCCTGTTATGACATAGGGAAATCTTTTGGATTTAGGCTTGCCAGACTGGTATAGAGCTGGGAATAGGGTCTGTTTAAGGTTTAAAACAATAGAGAAGCAAAATGAATTGGTAATACAAGGAATATCAGGTTAGGGTAAATGTGTTGATACTTCTTCATTAACTTTTCAAGAGAGGAAAAGGAGTTCAGGTTATTGATGCAACATGAGGATTAAATTTGCAATTATGCAATACCACAGTCTTTCACATTTATTTTTTCAAATGTCCTTGTGTTTGGAAATCAAGTTGAAGGCTCAGAAAGAAAAACTTGAAAGTAAAGAGCTGCACATGAACCTTCTGCGGCAGAAAATAACCCAGCTGGAGGAAGAGAAGCAAGTAAGGGCTGCATTAGCTGTGGAAAGGGATGAGGCCAATCTCGCTGTCAAAAAGTTACATAAGATGATAGAGAGGCTACAGAAGCAGCTTGATCTGGCAAGGGAAACAAATAGTGATCTCAAAGCCAAGCTGTCTGAAACCAGTGAACTTAAGGTGAGTTAAAATATTACATTTATACTTCTATCCGTTTTTCTATTCCATTTGGATACAGCTGGACTTCATTTAAAATAAATGTGTTCATGGAGAGCTGCTCAAATCTTGGTGACAAAAACAAATATAATATTACAATGTTTTGGGTATTTTACAATTTGTCTTGATATGCTAAGTAGCATCTGCAAAGCACAATCAAAATTTTAAGGATAGTATAAGAAAAATACAATACATGGTTCCCTTTCTCTCTTGTTAGTATGACTGTCATGTATTTTCCCATGCATTGCTCACAGAAGGTCTATTCTGATAGGTATGAGGGGAATATAACAGGCAAGATTCTAAATTTTCATTGTTTCTATGTTTCATTACACTGCATTAGTAATACATTACCTTGTTTTACTTAGGTGAATACAAGTGGTTTGCAGCCATTGATAGCTTGCTACCACTAAGAGAAAGGAAGACTGATTTTATGTGACTTTGTGTCTTGTGGCTGATGGAGTGAAACATACAATTCTGCACATGTTTCCACGGAACCATTTTTACTAGCAAAACATTTGGCAGTTCTTTTTCCTACTATTTTTTCCAGGGGCTGGAAAAGAGTGAACCCACTCTGGGGATTTTCTTTTCTGCCCATATACTTCTTTTCATAAAACCTGTATAGAATTAATTGTCCTTGAAGAGAAACCTTTTTGTTCATTGTGTTGAAATAGGCCAGTCTCCTTTAATAACTTTTCAGTTCACATATACATGTGATGATTTAATGAAGTGCCCAAAAGTAACCACACTAATGTGCTTATTCATGATCACTCCTGATACTTTTTGCCATTTGCTCAAGTTAGCTAAAAAGTATGGCAAATTTAACACTTCCTCATCTTATTGCAGATCAAAACTTTGGAGCAGAACAGAGCAATAGAGGAACTCAATAAGTCTCAAGGCAAATTGGAAAGAATGAAAGAAAAAGCTGAGAAACAACTTAGATCTGCCAAATCAGAACTTCTTTTAACGGAGCGTAAAGCTACTGAAGATAAAGAAAAAAACAAAAATATATTAGAAGCTGTTACCAGTGAGATGAAGGTGCTTAAAACAACACTTGCAGAACTAGCAAAAAGAGAGAGACAGGTAGGTGTATAGGTATTTGACAAGTGCTAGATGTCCCTTAGAGTGTAGGAAAAGGGTGTAGGAGGAGCAGCTATCCAGCTGTACTTAAAACTGCTCCAAACATCATAAAACAAGGAAATTTTAGCTCACACTTGTGTGTCACAGTGACAGTTGTGATTGCAAAGCTATTCTGTAAGTTAAGTTTTGCAAGAGATTAATAAATACAGACATTATTTTCTTTGCTCATCATAAAATATTGCATCACCTTTTAGAGAAGTATTAAAATGCTGTAAAATTCGAGTATCTCTCTTAAGGCATGTCTTTTTTTCCAAATATCTTAGGTAGAAAACTTACCAACTTCTCATCTGCTTCCTTTTGTTTCCATATTGTGTTTTTTAGCAATGTTATAGATGGCATAATTGTTGAAAACAAATGGATGCTTCTTTAAAGTTAAAAATTTGTAATTTTAAATTTATTTCAGCTGCCTAGAACTTCATTAGATTTCCCAGCTAAAAATCTTATGGTGTATGTTGGCCTTATGACAACAATGACTCTGGATGAAATTTAAGAATGCTGTTTCAGAAAATTAGTCTAGAAAAATATAATTTTATTTACATGGAGAAGAATAACAACCTGGAAACAACCTTTTTTCCCCCTGGAAATCTTTAGTGCTTTTTGTTTTATAGCAAAGTTTAGAAATTTGGCAGGAAGATTTAATTTCTTCATACATCTCATGAGGAAACAAAGCATCCAGCACAGAGAAGAAGATATTAATTATACGTGGGAAATTATTCCGTGGAGTCACACATTATGTATTTTGCTAAAAGCACAAACACAAATATTGACTTTTTACCATCTCTGAATCTGCTTGAATATTGTTGCAATGTTCTTTGGACTTTTCTCTCCTATTTTAGTTTAAAACCTTTCTCCTATTACCTGTCATTATATGCCTGTGTAAAGTGCTGCTCTCCTTTTTTTTCTTTTTTGTGTGCCCCCTTTAAATACTGGAAGGTGTTATAAGGTCTCCCTGGAGCCTTCTCTTCTCCAGGCTGAACAATCCCAGCTCTCTCAGCCCAGCTTCATAGAAGAAGTTCTTCATCCCTCTGATCATCTCTGTATCTCTCCTTGGGAGCTGTTCTAACAGGTCCATGTTTGTCTTGTGCTGAGGACTCCAGACCTCAGCTCTGTTCTGTATTGGTTTCCATATTTGTGTTTCCGAATTGAAGGCAGCTCCTCGGGGTTGGAAACAAACTGCCTTTGGCAAAGTCTTGGGAACTGAGAGCTTGTTTTCAGGAAAGCTGCAAACCCCTTTCAGACTTAACTGCTTTAGAATTCTGCACAGTGTTCTTGGGGTTGGGGACATTTCAGGACTGTCTATCTCCTCCTTATCCTTAGCCCTTGGCATATTTGGTGGAGTGAGGATGCTGCCACATCAGAACACGAGTCCAGTTTCTTGATGGTTTTGATGATTTTGTGGCATTTTGAGTCTCTTTCAGGCTTGGGAATGGAGATCTTGGCATTCAAATAGAGAGCAAGAAAAGCATATTTCCTCAAATAATAACATTTTCCTCTTTTATGTGTTGACGATAAGGGGAATTAAGGCATTTGCCATTTTGGCTGTGTAATTTATTGTCTGTTCAAGGGGCCTTGAAGTTTGACTGATAGTGATACATACTGTGACTTGAGAAGAGTAAATCAGCAGTGATGACAGCTACATGTGGATGTCTGTCCATGTGGAACTGCAGAGAGAAAGCTGGTGTCTTTAATTAATTACTTTACCAAATACTATTCCTATGACATTTTCAGCAGCTATGCACAGAAGAAAAACAAACATTTTCTTAATCTGCATCTTGAATTTGGGCTGTATCTTGATTCAAATCAAAGTCAGACCGCAGGATGTGCCAAAAACTTCCACCTTTCTTCTAACTTCCTCATTTCTTTCTTCTCAACAAAGTGCAGGGTGGAGGGGAGAGGTGGCAGATAGTGGTCAAGGACGAGCCTTAGCCTGTGCTCTGGTAATTGCCCACCAGAGTTTCAAGTTTGTATACTTTGTGGTCATCTGCATCAAGTAAAAGTGTGTTTTCCTCTGTTTTTGGAGTTGAGTCAGCAGGGAAGATATTCCTGTGAAAGATACTCAAGGAACACTTGAAAGCTGTGATTTGTGTTTGAGACTCTTGACGTCTCAGCTGTTTGTATTTTGTGATTTGATGTATGCCCCAAAAGGCTGTTTCTGTCCTCTGCTGCTCTCTGTATTGAGCAACAGCTGATATGCCTTCATTTAGCGCTGATGATACAAGTGCTAGTGTGTATGCCTATATGTACATGTTTTCCCTGACATCTCCTTTGCTTCCTGTTTAATTTATCCCGTTCTCTTTGCTCTCGCAGCTGGCAGATTTCCGAGAGGTGGTCTCGCAGATGCTGGGCCTCGACATCGCCAGCCTGGCTCTTCCCGACTATGAAATCATTACTCGCCTTGAGGGGCTGATCCACTGCCATCAGCACCACCTCTTCCCCTGTGTCTGCCTCAAAAATGTGGCTCCCAGAGGGGCAGCAAAGAAACATCCTGCCTCTTCTCTGAACGGAGATGGGACAAAGTAAAATTTTCTGTTTGCTTCCTCACCTGCTGGAGCTCCGCAGTAAACGGATCCCTATTTCTGTTCCCTACTCTAGAGACACCAGCTAGGGCTGATTTTTAGAACTTCAGCTGAGAGACTGATTGGAACGGGTAAAGACAGCAGCCTGGAGATGGCAAACAGAAAATCTCTGGGCAGCTTAATACTTCGGTCATGAAAATGATAGGCAACACATCAACAATGCCCTCCAGTTTCAGTGCAGAGGCACTGAAGTCATGGGTCACCCAAGGTCAGTTCACAGTTCTGAGAAGTTATTGAATGTCTGCTTCAGTGGCATTCCTTGTGTTTTACCTCTAGGTGACAAGGATGAAATAAAGTAGGAGTTGTCCTGCTGCTTTTCTTCTTCCCACCTGGACATCTCTGCATTTTTACATATAAGGGCTTTCACTTCAAGACAATTGTCTGCAAGTTAGAGGATTATCTCAATTTTGAGAGATTCTTTTTTCCTTCTGTTGGTTTCTTTTGTCTGCTTGTATGGCAAAACAAATAATTCCATTTTTGCAGGAAAGGCTTTTTCACAGGGTCCCATCATGTGCCTCATATAGATATATTTGGTAAAATTGAGTGTTGGCCTTGGTCATGAGGTCTTGAAAATTTTGTTTCCAACTTGTATTCCTTGGGTAATTAATACACCGCGGCAATTCTTCTGAGTTAATGAAAACTTATTTTAGAATTCTTGTTCACTACAGAAAATAGTTGAACTACTAAAGTGTTTATTTTTAGAGAAGTGATGATGAGGTATAACAAACTACCTCTTAGTCGTAAAAACTGCTTTCTGAGTGTTGTTCAAATTCATGATTTTTTAAAAAATGAAATATAGACAATAAATCTGTTTTAATAGCACATTCAAACTTGATTCTGTGGTTTTAGTTTTCTCTTCCCATTATATGTTTTGTGTGGTTGTGTAGAAGAGCAAAGACAACTTACCTAATTATATCTGACCATTTGTGGGCTTTCTACAGTGTCTCAGCAAATGATGACCCACTCAGTAAAACCGAACACACTATTTTAAGAAAAATGACACTTTTTCAAGTCAGAGTGGTAATTTCTGGCTGAGGACTCAAAAGATGTTTTTATTTGATTTGCTTCTGAAGAATTGTTTCTCAGTGACTTGCTGTAAAATATAAAAATAAACACTCGAGCTTTTGTAAAATCAGTCATTTGAGAAGATAGAAATAAATCTTGTGTAAATTCTTATGCTCCTGTGGCTAACTGGATTAAAATCAATTTGATGTTTTGTTTTATAACGTAACATTATTTTGGGTGGGAATGACTTCAAACTGAACAAGAGCAGGTTTAGATTAGATATTAAAAAATAATTCTTTTTCATGTGGGTAGTGAGGCAGAGGTTGCACAGGGAAGTTGTGGATGCTCCATCCCTGGAAGTATTCAGGGCAGGATGAAAGGTAATTTTTAGGCATGATATGTTGATTGGGGATTTAGAGGATGGAAAAGGATGCAATAATTTTCTAGCTCTCGATGAGATAATACAAGTAGTTTCACTTTGTGTTTTGTTGGTTTTATAGGCACTTATTTTTTATTTATTACTAAAGAACAAATCTCGTTTTCTTCATCTACATTAATAAATATCATACAAAACATGATTTACCATATTATGAAAGTTAAGTAAATTGCAGTACAAATTTAGGTCCACTCAGCCCAGACAATAAATTCATAACATTAGGAAATAGTCTCTGAGAGTGACAATTATAAAGTAAGGTTGCATTGTGAAATGATTTCCTGCTGTCTGCCAGAAGACTTGAAGCCTCCTGTCAGGCTCATTAGCCCCATCCCTGCCACCCTGTGACCAGCCCTGGCACCAGCAGTGCAGTTCCAGCCCCACAGAAGCCACCAGCATGGGTCTCTGAATTATTTCAAAGGAGGCAGATTTGCACATGAAGTTCAAAGCAATGCTTGGTTAGTGGCTTGCATGTTAAGCCAGAAGAAAGAATAAAGTTTTTCTAATACTTTTTTTTTTTTTTAAGCACAGCAGATCTGTGCTTAAATGTTCACAAAGGAATATGACTAATATTCCCTGTATTTGCTTTCCTTTTGGAAGAGTACTGACATATTTCCCCGTTCACCAAAGCAAAATAAACAAACAGGCAAACAAACAAGTAAATAAATAAGAAGCCATTTGATTTGAACAAAGTTTAGGTGATTTTTGACCTATATAATTTAAATAAGCCCTGAAAAAAATGACTCTCAATTTTGTTTCATACAGCATTGAAGCAAGTCTTTTGCGAGAAAAATTAGAAGAAAAATTATGAATGTTTTCAAAGTTTGTTTCAAATGTTTTCCTCTTTTTTAAACCAAGATGCATTCAGCACAAGACGTGCATTGCAAGTGTGTATTGTGTTTGTGTCAGCAGACACCCCTCTTCCTGTAGGTTATTTTTACTAGGTTTGTCTGTATTAAAAAAGGTATGGAATTAAGAGTTTGCTATCTGTTCATAATTACTCTTTTATTGTGGTAAAAGTTTCTGGATTTATCAGCAGAATGCATAGTAAAATAATGTAAAGAAGTAATATGTGTTAACTCACGGAATAGTACAGCTACATAAATACATTTTTTTCTCCAAATAACAGCTGAACCAACTCCGGTGAATACAACTTTACTAAGTGTTAAGGAAAATTCAACCAATTAAAATGTTGCAATTGTAGATATTAATGTGGAATTATTTACATGCTATAAACTCTATAGTAATAAAATCACAAAGTAGGTAGAAAAATGAGTCTTGTAAGTGCATGAAAGTACATGGAACTGAATTTTTGCCTATGCATCATATTATTAATAATACACTATTTGCAACACAACAGAACCATGCATCAGAATATTGATGTAGTAGAACCATGATTCCTCAAAGAAAATAAGTGCAAAAGTATTTAAGTACTTTGCTAAATTAGAATTAAGATACATTAAGACAGATCATATTTAATTACTCTTTTACTTCTGTTGCTCTGTAGTTTATTATTACTGTATAAACAATTTGCTTGCTCTTTTAGATTTTCTGTGGATGTCCACAATTCTGTGGATGTCCATCATCCACAATTTCCTACAGCTGTTCTGTTACTCGATTATTTTGCACATTTTGATGGTGCAGGAGAGGGAAAATATGAATGACCCAAGTTCATAATAGATTTTAATTAAAAAAAAACAGACGAGGAATCAGCTACATTTAGAGAGAAAAAGTAATGTATTCTCCCAAACTTTTAATGTGAAATAGAAGTATTTTGTAAGACTACAGATTCTGACTTTTTCTCTGGACTATATAAAAGAAAAAGGGCGAGGAATGAAACAAAATGAAGTGAAACTTTCCAGGAAATTAGAGAAAAAATATTTCTGTTATCACTGAAGCATACAAAATGAAAGTAGTTAACTATGTGTAAAATGAAGAAATGATAGCTTGCCAGAATAGAAACTAGAAAGAGTGTTCAAAGATAATCCTTTTCAGATGGAAGACTTCAGGGTTTTTTTTTTTTAATTTTTTTTTTTTCAAAACAAGTAAGAATCCTCTATGGCAATACATCATTTTTTCTGGAATGAGAATGAATTTATTAGATTGCACTCATAATTAATGAGAAATAATTGAGTCAGAAAAGAAAAATCTACAACACATAACAATGTGTTGAAACAAAATAGTTTGCTTTTCTGTCAGTTTTAAAGTCAGCTAATGAGCCTTGGGACAATGAAGAACACTATTTTCAGAGGGGAACAAATAAAAAAGTTGAGATACGTTATTTCATTTTTCCCCTGTGACTACTTATACTTTGGATAAGTAGGAGAAACAATACAAAGAAGACTGCAAAGTATGAGCCAATGGGCTCCAAGCAGGTGCCAGGCAGAGAAACCAAGGTTTGGATGGCTTCTGGTAAAGCTGGGGATGGAACTGGAGAGCAGGAAGTCTCACCAAACTGGGAGCTGGATAGGTTTTGGCCCCAGGTTATGCGTACCTTTTCTAATTTTTGTTATAAATCGGTGCTTTTATGAAATGATTTGGGCTTTTTTAAATTTTTTTTTTTTTCTTAGGGAATGTGAGTATGTTGGATGGGGAGGTTGAGTGCTTGGTTATAAACAAAACATTCAATTTTCTATTAATACTGTTTTTAAATAGGCCAGGGGATGCAATTTAATCTGACAAAAACCAAAAAAGAATCTTGCCCACGAAACACTGGGATCTGATTACAAAACAAACACGTGATGGTACCCGTGGAATGCTGGAAGACCTTCCCCAGGGCTGGCACCACATGCCAGCAGAGCTGACTCAGCCCTTTCCCCTCCTGGTGGTGTTTTTGTACTGTGAGGAAGAGCACGGCCACAGCAGCTCTGGGGGCTGTGGCAGGGCATCAGGGGAGCCTTGCCAAAGGGAATGGAAATCTGGGCACACCAAAGAGGCACCTCTGGTCCCTACAGGGACTGTCTGCATCCTGAACACTGTGCTTTGATGGAGGCCTTGGGCTTAAACTGGCATGAAATAAGGAACAGTAAGAGTATTTCTAGCACTATTTCACTGAGTATTTCAAAGTATTTCCTCTGTGTACCCTTCATATTGCTGTAGCGGATTCATACTAACGATGTAAAAATAGGCAGTATGAATTACAAAGTAACAGCATGAATTGATATGGTCAGCCACTCTGGCTGACTCCTTGCCCTTAGAGGAGGTCAGAGACTCATGATTAAACCAACAGGCATCCCAAAGGACGAGCAGAACAACATGAATGGCAACAATTCTCTGACCTTTATCCGAAGACATTTCTTTTCTTAGTCTCTATATGCTGCATTGGATTTGCTGTCATTCACAGCAAATATCTTTCTAACACGGACCTTTCAAAGATCACTTGCCTGCAGCAAAGTCTCTGATCAGCCCCGCTCCTCATCCAGCAAGGTTTCACATCTGTGAAACCTTGAGCAAGGAGCGCCAGGGTCAGCTGGGTTGTGTAGGTTTGCTGGAGAAATCTGTCCAGACTTTTGCTCTGCTGCCACTTTCCATCTCTGAGACCTGGCAGCCTCCTCCTGCACTTTAGCAGGGTGTGGATGGATCTTTGCACATTGTGTGGCACCAGCAGACATCAAGGCACAGTTGAATCTCTCGCGTGAGACTGCAGTACCTTTTAGATGATTCTTATCCCTTTGAAGCAGTTTTCTGGAGCTGCTGGGGCAGGAACCGTCAGTCCATGCTTGTGCGGGTGGGAAAAAGAGCTGAAAGGTTTTGGTCAGCCTAAATGATCCTACGAAGCAGGAAGGCTGTGCCAGGCACACGGCCACAAGGAGACAGATACGTACTGCAGGTTCTGCAGGGGAGGTGGAGCTGCGGGAAGGAGAAATAACACCAGGATAAAGTGATGGCAGGAGACAAGCCAGGACAGGTGCAGATTCTTGTGAAGCAGACTGCAATGGTTTTTATAGCAGAAGTACTACGGCAATCAGTGTAGATAGATGGAATCCTGCAGATTATGGAGTAAAAGT